TGCTCCTTTATTCGCTCCAGCTCAATACAAATAAATCAATGGCAATTTTGTACTTAGTTCTCTTCTAGCCAATATCTATTTGTGGCAACAAGTTAGGCCTTGGATTTCAACCATGGATAGCCGTAAAAACCGCCAAACCCATATGGTCCATATGGTCCACAAGGATAGCCATAACCACAGCCGAATCCGTAAGGGTGTCCATAGTATCCATAACCGTACCCCCAAGGATATCCAAACAAGCTCCATCGCTTGCTTCGTCTGCAAAGGAGTACTGAATGCTGATATCACTAAAGCAGTAGCTTCCTTACTCTGCAATCTCCGCTGATCGTGGAAGAATTCTATGACCCTCAGCTATAACTGGTGCAGCTTCGATGTTAACCTCTTCCTGTGCCGCAGCCAAATAGACCAGAAGGAGAGGAATAAGGAAGTACAGGGGGTTTCGGCTTGCGTACATCTGTCTCAATCTGTGATTACTTTACAGGATAAGCAGCGAAATGTATAAAAATCTTAGCAAGTATAGAGAAAATACCACGATCTATCAAATATCTTACATGCTTGAATCATACAAATAAAAGTGAGGTGAAGAGATGAAACATTAGATTCATGGTTTGGAACTTATTTGTTCTATTTTTGAGGGAAGAAATGAACTGTACTCCCGGCATTGCGGTAGGCTTTTATAGCTACTACGACCACACACTGCATTTCTGCAAACATATCATGAGCCAAGAAAAACCCCGATGCACTTAAATTACGCAAACAATACGCAAAAGCAGGAGTACGTGATCAAATGATTTGTGTAAAGCATTTTTGAGACTTTCAGGATAAATGACTTGTCAGCAATAAGTAAATTGCCTCAGGCTGTTGCCGACCTTATGGATAAAAAAGTCTTATAAAAGTCTTGCAAAGCAGACAAAGTTTTTACCATGCCTCAACAAAAACAACTTTTCTCGTAATCTCAGTAAGTTGCTCACACAAGAATGTTAATATTTACACTTCGTGTACTGGAATGAAGAGATTTTTT